ATAATTTAAAGTGCTACAACTATGGAAAGAATGGTCACTTGAAGAAGGATTTTTGGAGTCTAAATAAAAACTCCAATCCACAAGGCAATACCGCAAACACTTCAAATGATGGAGATGTTCTATGCTGTGAAGCGTCAACCACCATGGAAGGCAGAAAAAGATTTACAAATATATGGCTCATTGATTCAGGAGCAACATATCACATGACCTCAAAGAAGAGAATGGTTCCATCATTATGAACCTGTCTCAGGAGGATCTGTGTATAGTTGCAATGATCATGCCTTATAGATCATTGGAGTGGGAACCATCAAATTGAAGATGTACGATGGAACAATTAAAGTTGTTCGAGATGTGCGACACGTTGAAAGGCCTAAAGAAAAATTTATTATCCTACGGATTGTTGGATAATAATGCAAGCAAGATTGAAACACGGAAAGGAATCATGAAGGTATTCTGTGGAGCGCTTGTGGTGCTGAAAGGCGAAAAGATAGCTGCAAACTTGTACATTATGGGGTTAAATGGAGATTGGAAATGGGAATTACTTTGGAATCACCGACCCCAGGCAGCTTTATTAAGTATTGCGGTTGTAAGACCACCATTGAAAAATGGAGGGGAGTATACACCAATATAAAGATGGGAGGAGAATGGAAAGTTCACGTTAAAAAGTGTTTACTGCCGACGGATAAAAGCTACAGGGAACACAACATCACCAGTGTGGAAAACCATCTCATGTTATAGAGGACTGTCGAGGATTCGATGTTTACTTTAGTTGATTTGTAAAGATCGTTTAATGACAAATGTAGAACAAACCAGAAGACACTTCTCAAATAATCCATCCTGTAGCTGTTGTGGTGCTATTAAAGAAACAACATCTCATATATTCCGAGAATGCTTCATAGCAAGAACAACATGGAGCGAATTAATTAAACCAGATAAGATCGATGAATTTTGCTCAATGCCAATTGATTAGTGGATACAGACCAACTTGCAAGAACCAAGCCATTTCTCGAGAGGACGAGAGGAGTGTGACCTTGTTTTTGGATCAATTATATGGAGTATTTGGCTTCGTCGAAACAAGTTCATATTCGACCCTGAATCTACTAAGACTGAGAGCGTATTGCAATCGGCTATACGAGTTCAAATGGAAGCTTCACATGCATTAAATCTTCATCAACTACACCAATAAAACGAGGAATACATCATGAACAACAACAACAATGGTAGCCTCCCCCAGAGGGATGGTGGAAGTTGAATATTGATGGAGCTCGCAAATTAGATATAGGAGTTACTGCTTGTGGGGGAGCTCTACGAGATTCTAACGGCGAATGGATCATGGGATTCCCAAAAACTTTAGGACAATGTTAAGTACTAGAGGCAGAACTATAGGGAGTGGTCGTGGGACTTGAAATGACATGGAATATTGATTTACGAAATGTCATGGTTGAGACAGACAGTAAAGAAGTATTCAAACTTTTGATGCAATGTGCGTTGATGGATAGAGTATTACCGATGGTACCACATGTCGTCTGGTTAATTCAACAAAAGTGGTAGTTACATTTTGAACATATTCCGAGAGAACGAAACGAATTTGCAGACGGATTAGCAAAGATGGCATGGAACCTCCCATTCGGACTCCACAACTTTGAAGACCCTCCGGTGGGGATAAAAAACCTATGGATGAACGATCGAAGAGGAAACATAGTAAACTAGCTTAGATCTTTTCTACCTTTTGTACTCAAAAAAATTCTAAGATATAAAGGGAGAGTAAAAGAAATTGGCTATTGGAGAGAGAGGTCAAGGTATCTAATTGTCCTCAGTTACTATCGTCTAAGTAAAGATTAATTTCTATTTCTTTCATATCGACGTATTTTACTAACATTTACTTCATCTTTACATTTTTGAAATACCTAATGGTTTATTTTTATCGTTTTTTAATAGAAATTGAAGCAATTATATAAAAAAATGTATTAATATAAGATAAGTGTATATGTTCAAAGATACTTTTAATTATTTGACATTGATCATTCATGTACCGACATTTATAATACTCGAATCCGAACTTCAAAGAATTATAACAATTTCTTTATCACCAATATCACTCAGTTCATACTAATTATATAAATATAACAATAATAATATGGTACTTAATACAGTAAAGATCTGAAAATGATCTGTTTTTGTAATTTTTAAGTTTTATTGAATTTTGAAAGACAAAAAAACATACAACACAATGTCCAGCCCAACAGCCAAAGAAGACATGAAAGGCAGACATGGAACATCACAATCACCATAAGGACGATAGAAGAAGCCATAAATAGCTCATCACTGCTCCCATGGGGGTGTAACTCCACGAGCCCTAAATATGGCTTCAACTTCTGGAGACATAAATGCCCATGTAGCGATGAGAGGACGCCCATCTAAACCGGGTGCAGTGGAGGAACTTCCTTGAATCCCGGGTGCAGTGGAGGAACTTCCCTGAACCGCCGGTGCAGTGGTTGAGCTCCCCTGAACCGCCGGTGCAGTGACGGAACTTCCCTGAACCGCAGGTGCGGTGACGGACTTACCTTGAATCCCACGTACATTGCCAAGTTCTAGGGCCAGATACTCGTCGTCCAACACTTCTCCTTGTTGCCGCTCCATATTTGGATAAAATACTTACGATATCACTAAGGCTAAGCAGTAGCGTGATTCTGGGAGAATATTACGCTAATACGCTTTTCTTGCTGATGACGATGGTTGCCTATTCCTTCAGTCTTATATACATTAATTTCTGCAACGATTTTGCTATAGAAAAATGAAATATTTTTCACCGAACTTTCGATTTGAGCTCATTGCCCAGATGTTTCCTTGTGCTACATTCTTTATATAATAAGGAACCTTCTCTCCTCTTTCAAGATACTAAAGTCTTGGTTTTGCACCTCGTATTCAAATTTCTTCTCATTTTTTATTCATCCATTTGTACATTAAAGTTTTGATTTACACCTCGTCTTTAGTTTTTGTTCACATCTGAGTAAACGCGTTTATCATTTTATACTCTCTAGGTGAAAATGTTTGGTAGGGCGCACTAACCACTCTATTTTTTTAATACTATTAGCTTCAATTTCATAAATTTTCTATTGATTTATGGTACAAGATTCTTATATTAAAAGGGACATATTTCAAATATCGATTAACGTTCATTTTCAATATAGAGACTTTTAAAGACTTAAACAGTCAGCGTAATAAGTGTGACAGACATCAGTGATAAATAAAAAAATAAGGTAAATTATGCATTTAGTACTTAAAATATTATTTTTGGTCTGTTTTAGTATTTAAATTTTTAATTTTTTAAAAGTCATACCTAATGTTTATTTTTTATTTCATTTTAGTACCTCATTGTTTAAAACTTAATGCGTTTAGTACCTAAACTATCAGTTTTAGTCCCTTTTAGTACCTAAGCTTTCTATTTTTTCTTCAAAACTTAACGTTAAATTTTGAATAAGGGTACTAAAATGAAACAAAAACTAAATATTAGGTATGTTTAATTATGTGTTGGATAATAAATGGATTGCTTTCTTTTTTTAAAAAAAATACATGAATTTAGTATTTTTTATGATACTTTCTAACCAAATGAATTTATTAGACTAAAACAATAGTTGAATAAATGTATTATGTCATAAAACAACGAACAAGTTATTGTTAAACTATTATTATATTAAGAAAGTAATATAACATTTATGACAAAAGAACAATGACTAAATTGTTAGAATTTTTAAATATGAAGAGTTAAATTTACTGACTTTTTCAAATAAGGACCAAATGATAGAACATATGTTTTGGAGACTAAAAGTTGTTATAATATTAGGCCACATCGTTATTTCGTCTAATATTTAAGAGTCAGTGATATTTTTGCAAGTTTTAGAAATAAGTAACACATTCGTTAGCAAATACATAACTGAATGAGTTGAACTGTATTTTACCCAATAAAATAATGCAGGAAAGGGGGAGTTATTTACCGGGAATCTTCCGTTGATTTCACGAGGCGGAATATATGATGTGGACGGGTGGACGCATATCAGATATAATAATTACTAGGGTAAATTACAAACTTAATCACTAAAATTTACTATTTCTCTTATTTTTCTCACTTAACTTTATAGTTTTTTAATTCATTTGCTGGACTTAATAAATTGAGTTTTTTTTCCACTCCGCAGATAAATAGTTGACTCTCAAATATTTGACAGTAAACGTTCACAACCCCAGAATTCCTGGTGTTCAAAATCAGAACCTCAAAAAATAATAATTATTTTCTCTATCACTGAATTCATTTGGTTCGTGCTTAAACCTGATAATTGGTCGTATAAGGTTGTCTTCTTCTCTCATGGGTAGGGATGGCAGTATGATCCGAACCCGACGGGGAAACCCGAAACCCGATCAAGTTCGGGTCAGGTCGGTTTGAATGATATCGGGTCGGGTATCGGGGATTTTTCGGGTCGGGTTCGGGGCAAGGTATCCCCGACCCGCCCCGATTATATATATATATAATATTTTATATTTTTTATATTAATTATATATATAATATTTTATATTTTTTATATTAATTATATATAAAAATATTTTCGGGTTCGGGTTTGGGTATAATATTTTGGGTCGGGTTTGGGGAAGGGAAAAAAATCCCCGATGAGGCGCCCCGATAAAAAATCTGTTGGGGATCATGTCAGGGTCGTGGACGAGGATTCATTTTGGGTTCAGGGACGGGACGAGTAAAACCCGACCCGAACCCGACCCGAACCCGACCCGTTGCCATTCCTACTCATGGGTATTAGGTTTGGTTTGTAAACAGCTTAGCGGCATTGACCCAGGTCAATTAGATATTAATTACTAATATTTTATGACCAACTAGTCTACAGGGCTATAATATTTGTTTATTTTTAAATTAAAAATGATAATGGATTAATTATATATTTTCTTCCCATTGGCATTATATAATGTGCCTGCCATTCCGGGGAAGGGAAACCTGGCTCTCTTATTCCCTCAGTCTTCTCCCTTTGTCCATCTGTGTTCTTCGGACAGTGCAGAAGCTAGTGTTTGACCTCCTTCAAAACAACAGGTACCAACTCTGTCCTGTCTTTTTTTCTCTTCTCTTTGATTAATTTGTACAAGTATTCGGTGATTTCTTACATTTTTTTCAGATTGGTTTTGCTTCTTTTATCATGAATAATTTATTTGCTTAGCTGAACCACTGACAGAAAAACCTTGAAATTTACAAATTAAAAACCATAACTTTATCCTTCCCTTCCTCGTATATAGACAAGGAGAGATCCATATACATTACAAGATAATGTGATGTTTTCTTACATCTTGGTCCTTTTCTTTTTCTTCTTTTGTAATTTGTTTAAATTTCTTTCCAAAGTTAATTGCCAAATTAGCATAAAAAAGTGGAGATGGGAGCCTATAAGAAGTTGTGTCCTTACTTAGTAAAATGCCAAATATATTTTAGGCTTCTCTTAAATATATCCTAGTTCTGTTGTATGGTATGGACTTGGGGTTTATGTTTCTCTCCGGATAATATTGTTTTTAAAATCTCAATCTAAATTATCTTTTGAGAAGTATAGCATACCTAATTTATCAGTAATTTTAAACCATTTTTAATTGTTTTAGATTAATAAAATAGAACAATATGTAAATTTCACTTGCAATTCCCGAACTATACTAGGAACCAATTTTACAGCATCATTAATTTGCTGAAAACAGAAGCTCATCTAGACTTGTCTTTAAATTGATTGCTAATTTTTCTCACGGTAAAAGGGTAACTTTTGTCCCTATAGTAGATCCAATTTATCACTTCCGCCTTTATCGTATTTTTGTATCAGTTAGCCCTTAAAGTTACTTAATCGCATCATTCTATAACTCTACCCCTAACTTAAAACCCTAAATTATAATCCCTAAACCCTAAAGTATTATAACCCTATTATCTCTAAACACTAACTTAGTATTTATAATTTAAGATTTTAAGTTGGGGGAAGGGTATAGAATAATGCAATTAAACAACTTTGAGGGTTAAATTAATGCGAAAATACGATAGAGGCGAAAGTGATAAATTTAATTTACCACATGGACAAAGGTGACCCTTAAGTTTTTTTTCTCACCCATGGATGATATTATACTAGATAACCTAATTGAATTGTAGTAGGTTTTATTTAGATCATTGAATTAAAAGGATTATTAATTACGTCAGGTAACTATTTAAATAATATCAATTAAATCATCAATAATTAATCATTAAAAAAATATTGATGTGACAGTTAAATATTTTTTTATAATTACATATTTTATCCTAATTATTTATATAATCTATTAATTTATTCTTAATTTTAATATAATTCAATAAATTGATAAATTATATACGTAATGAGGATTAAATGTGTAACTATAAAAATTTATTTAATTATCACGTTAATATTTCTGTGAACTGTTAATAAAGGATCACTCGATTTATATCATTTAAATAACTAAGTGTCATAATTAACTAAATTAATAGATCATTAATCAAATTAGATCCCTATCATAATTAAGTGACTGTTTGAGTAGTTTATTTTATTATATTTCACTCTTAACTATGGAAGAGTTGTTAAACTATAAAAAATTTAATTTAAATTAATCGATCAATAATTGAATATAATAATTAAAAAAAATAATTATGTTTGTCTTCTTATCTGTCTGATGTGAAAAAAATAAATATAGACTTGACAGATGGAGAACCATGAGCCTGGAACAGAAAATAACACCTCCGATGAAAATCTAGACCATCTGGCGAAAGATATTGAATCCACGTTAAAGTTCGTTAAGAGTTCAAAGCGTCCCGCTGTGCAACACTGTATAATCCGCTCTGTAAACCCTTTGCTCCGTCGAGTAAATGAAGCAGCCTACCGACCCCTATTCGTCATAATCGGCCCCCTTCGTTGTTACACTTCTCTGTTAGAGCCCATGGAATTGCAGAAGCGAATATATCTAGCCTCCTTCCTCCAACGACCTGGGGTCGGTGCTAGCTTGAACGAGTTTTGCAAACTGATCACAGCCTCCGCACCCGAAATCCGAAGCCGATACGAAGAAACATATTACCGGAGATGCGATTTTAAGGCACACCAAATCCAACAGAACATACCGCCGAGTGACGACAACCTCCAGTGGTTCATAGAGATGGTTTTAGCGGATGCAGCCTTCATTATTGAACTCTTCTTGAGAATCTATCACAAGGAAGGTCAGCCGGAATCGGAAATCGATTTCGTCTTCGATAGCCCCGGGAAGATATATGATATCAGACGAGACTTGTTCTTGGCTCACAATCAACTTCCCTTGTTTGTTCTTAAACAAATATATGATCTTGCCTTTGGTAATAATCCCGATCATCACCCTTCGTTTATTCATCTCAGCTGCAATTTCTTCTACCAGTACTTCAACCAAAACATATCCATCCATGATTTGTTTCAACCAAACCAACCTCATGTTGATTTTATAGCCAAGCTGGAGGGTGCTAAGCATTTTACTGATTTGCTTAGAACACTTCAGCTACAACATTCATTTCAAAACCCTGGAAGCAATAGTAAATCCTTTAGCTGTAAACCAATGTTCAAATGTTCTTCATGTTAGAAGTCAAACTCTTGGAATTGTGTAGAAGTTCAACGTGGCAAATGAAGATAGATTCACAAGTAAACAAAACAAAGTGGAAATGCTTGGCAGTACACTAAACCACACATGCATATGTCGGCAAAGATTTTTCTTTAATTGTTTGAATTCACACGGCAACATGTCAAGCAAGAATTAAGGAGAGAAGTTGAGAAGCATCCAGAGGTCCTCAAATAAGTCGGTTATACAACCTATATATATGTGTGCTTAGCCTTTAGTTGGTGTGAAGTAGTGAGCGTGAATAAAAAAGTGAGTGAGCGTAAATACGATTGAGGAGTGAAAAAATAAAGAGATTTGAGAGATATATTGTGAAGCTTAGCAAAGCTTTAAATATATTGGTGAGTTTGTAAACTAGCAGCAGCTAGTATTGCAGTATTGTAATATTGAGAGTGTCGTTGTAACATATTTTGTTTCGTATAAATAAAATTTTCTGAGTGTTATAAATTATCGTGAGCCCATCTACGCTTCCAACAAGTGGCCTCAGAGCTTGGTTCGAGTTCAACGTGGTGAGAAGATGGCCACATGATTCAACCTCAAATCCCGAGATTGACAAAGACAAATTATGGCAATTGGAGCATTCAAATGAAGGCGTTACTAGGGTCCCAAGATTGTTGGGATATCATCGAGGATGGTTACACCGAGCCTGAAAATGCAGCAGCAGAAGCAGCCTTGGCCAATGAAGAAAAGAAGGTATTGAAGGAATCCCGGAGAAAAGATAAAAAAGCATTGTTCTTTATTTTTCAAGGAGTAGACGAATCTACCTTTGAAAAAATTTCTGATGCAAAGACCGCAAAACAAGCGTGGGAGATTTTGCAAAAATCTCTACAAGGTGTCGAAAAAGCAAAGAAGGTACGCTTACAAACTCTCCGTGCTGAGTTTGAGATGCTAAAAATGAAAAATACAGAAAACATCGATGATTATATTAGCCGTGTGAAAACGGTCGTAAATGAAATGAAAAGAAATGGTGAATCACTCGATGATGTTAGAGTGATGGAAAAATTTTGCGGTCATTAACAAGAAAATTCGATTACGTGGTGGTGGCAATCGAAGAATCAAAAGATTTATCTCAGATATCGATTGATGAGCTTGTGGGTTCACTTCAAGCCCATGAGCAGAAAATGAAACAAAATGAGGATTCTGAAAATTTGGAGCAAGCTCTACAAAGCAAGATGAATGTCACGAAGGAAAAGCTAGCAGCAGCTACACACAAGGACGAGGAAATCGTGGTGGTTATCGTGGAAGATATAGAGGAGGACGAGGAACTCGTGGACGTGGTGGTCGATCACATAGCACCGATCAAATGAGTGAAAGCAATCCAACATCAGGTCGTGGACGAGGATTCAGAGGCCGAGGTAGGGGCAGATATCAACAAGGAAGTAAATCCAGGTACAATGTTATAATTGCAATAAGTATGGTCATTATAGTTATGAGTGTAGATCTGCTCCTAAACAAGAAGAAAGAAATAACGTAGCAGCAGCTGAAGAAGAAAAAATTGAAAAATCTCACGTATTCCTCACTTATAAAGGAAATGAAGAATTCAAGAAAAATATTTGGTATCTTGATAATTGTGCCAGTAACCATATGTGTGGTCAAAGGGAACTGTTTGTGAAATTAGATGAAACAGTTCATGGACGAGTAACGTTCGGAGATGACTCGCACGCAGAAATAAAAGGAAAAGGCAAAGTCATGATTACTCAGAAAAATGGAGAAAAGAAATATATTTCAGATGTTTATTATGTACCTGCTTTGAAAGCAATATCATCAGTCTTGGTCAACTCCTGGAAAAAGGATATGAAGTGCAGATGAAGAATCGCTCGCTCGCCATCAAAAATAAAGAAGGAGAATTGATAGCCCAAGCTGATATGACTCGAAATCGTCTCTTTACAATTGATATCGAGTCAGGAGAAGTAATGTGCATAAAGACCGCGATCAAAGATGATTCATGGCTATGGCATCTAAGATATGGACATCTTGGATTTTCTGGATTGAAGCTGTTGTCAAAAACAAGCATGGTGAAAGGACTACCAGAGATCAACCCTCCAAATCAATTATGTGAGGCTTGCATCAAAGGGAAGCAACATAGACAAAGCTTTGAAGTTGGTAGATCCTGGCGTGCCCGAAGACCACTGGAGATAGTACACACAGATATAGCCGGTCCTTTTGACATACCATCGCTTGGCGGTAACAGGTACTACCTAACTTTCATTGATGATTTTAGTAGAAAATGTTGGATTTATATCTTGAAAGAAAAGTCAGAAGCGTTGGAAAAATTGAGAGAATTCAAAGCAATGTCGGAAAAACAAAGCGGTCAATATTTGAAGATACTCAGATCAGATAGAGGAGGCGAATATACATCAAAGTTATTTGAAGAATTCTGCAAAGAGCATGGTATCATCCATCAGCTGACAGCCAGATACACGCCACAACAAAATGGAGTTGCAGAAAGGAAGAACCGCACAATCCTGGATATGGCGAGAAGCATGATAAAAGGTAAGCAACTACCGAGAAATTTCTGGGCTGAAGCAGTTCGATGTGCAGTTTATTTATTGAATCGATGTCCAACAAAAAGCGTGAAGTATATGACGCCAAACGAAGCATGGAGTGGACAGAAACCAGGAGTTGGACACCTCAAGATTTTTGGATGCATCGCATATGCCCATGTTCCCGAACAGACCAGAAAGAAGCTTGATGACAGAGGAGAAAAATGTATTTTCATTGGCTATGATGAAAGAAGCAAAGCTTACAGATTATATAATCCTCTCACAAAGAAGATAATAATTTCAAGAGATGTCGAGTTCGATGAAGCAGACTATTGGAGATGGAGCGAAGAGGAAAAGAAAGTTGAAGGACTATTTTTTGAAGATAAAGATGGTGATCTTATCAATCAAGATGAACAAGATGATGATCAAGATCCTCGACAAAATCTACCATCATCGTCAAGCAGCAGCAGCGATGCCAACAACATAATAGAAGATCCTGAAGCATCTCCCACAGAACTTCGAAGATCCACAAGAGAGAGAAAAATGCCAGAAAGGTACAACGATTATGAACTAAATAATGTTTCACTTTTCTGCTTGCTTGTGAACAGTGATCCAATAACATACGAAGAAGCGGTTGAAGATGACAAATGGAGGAATGCAATGGATGAAGAAATTGCATCAATAGAAAGAAATGATACATGGGAGCTAACAAGACAACCAGAAGGCCATAACCCAATTGGAGTAAAATGGGTTTACAAGACAAAGACCAATAAAGAAGGAAATGTTGAGAAGTACAAAGCGAGGCTAGTTGTCAAAGGCTATAAACAAAGACAAGGAATAGACTATGATGAAGTATTTGCTCCAGTAGCAAGGATCGAGACCATCAGACTTCTCACAGCAGTCGCAGCACAAAAAGGATGGAAAATTTATCAAATGGATGTGAAGTCAGCATTTTTAAATGGCTACCTAGAAGAAGAAGTTTATATTGAGCAACCACCTGGATACATTAAAAAGGGACATGAAGACAAAGTTTACCGATTGAAGAAAGCTCTATATGGTTTGAAGCAAGCCCCGAGAGCATGGAACACAAGGATTGATGAATATTTCCAGAGAAATGGGTTCATGAAGAGTCCATACGAGCATGCCTTATACACAAAGAAAATGAAGACGGTGATATCATGATCGTGTGCTTATATGTGGACGACATGATTTTCACAGGAAATAATCCAGGTATGTTCAATGATTTTAAGAAAGCTATGACTAAAGAATTTGAAATGACAGATATTGGAGAAATGTCATACTTCCTTGGAGTTGAAGTGAAGCAAATGCAAGAAGGAATATTTATATCACAAAAGAAGTATGCAGAAGAAATTTTAAGAAAATTCAGAATGGAAGATTGCAAGCCGGTAGCCACTCCAGCAGAACCAGGAGTCAAATTAAGTGTGAATTCAACAAGAGAGCAAGTGAATCCGACGTTGTTCAAAAGCATAGTTGGAAGTCTAAGGTATCTGACTATTACACGACCAGACATAATATACGCTGTGGGATTGGTAAGCAGATTCATGGAGCATCCGAAACAAGATCATTGGAGTGCAGCAAAAAGAATCCTCAGATATGTCAAAGGTACAACAGGTTATGGTTTATTCTACACGCATTCAGAAAATTCGAAGCTGGTTGGTTATTCTGATAGTGATTATGGGGGAGACTTAGACGATCGGAAAAGCACAACTGGATATCTCTTTCATATCGGCTCTGCAGTATTTTCATAGTCATCAAAGAAGCAACAAACGGTAGCTCTTTCAACATGTGAAGCAGAATACATAGCCGCAGCAGCGTGCACTTGCCAAGCAATGTGGTTAAGGAATATTTTGAACGAGCTAAATTTGGCGCAAGAAGAACCAACTACAATCTATGTCGACAACAAGTCTACAATTTCCCTTGCCAAGAATCCAGTCTCTCATAGCCGAAGCAAGCATATTGATACAAATATCACTTTATACGAGAGCAGGTGAAGAACAAAAATGTGGAGCTAATTTACTGCAGAACTGAAGATCAACTAGCAGATATTTTCACAAAGCCATTGAGAGCAGATATATTCAATCGACTCAAAGAAAAGCTTGGAATGGAAAGTCGAGTTTGAGGGGGAGTGTTAGAAGTCAAACTCTTGGAATTGTGTAGAAGTTCAACGTGGCAATGAAGATAGATTCACAAGTAAACAAAACAAAGTGGAAATGCTTGGCAGTACACTAAACCACACATGCATATGTCGGCAAAGATTTTTCTTTAATTGTTTGAATTCACACGGCAACATGTCAAGCAAGAATTAAGGAGAGAAGTTGAGAAGCATCCAGAGGTCCTCAAATAAGTCGGTTATACAACCTATATATATGTGTGCTTAGCCTTTAGTTGGTGTGAAGTAGTGAGCGTGAATAAAAAAGTGAGTGAGCGTAAATACGATTGAGGAGTGAAAAAATAAAGAGATTTGAGAGATATATTGTGAAGCTTAGCAAAGCTTTAAATATATTGGTGAGTTTGTAAACTAGCAGCAGCTAGTATTGCAGTATTGTAATATTGAGAGTGTCGTTGTAACATATTTTGTTTCGTATAAATAAAATTTTCTGAGTGTTATAAATTATCGTGAGCCCATCTACGCTTCCAACACTTCATTGTTTCCATCGGGCCAAAAGACAGAAGAAAATTCAGATCTGGAGTCGGGTCGAGTCCAGGGTAAATATTTATACAGTGCAACTCTACTGCGTGAAGCGGGTGTGAAGTTCAGAGTGAGCTCAAGCAGGTGCTTGCTGGACATAAAATTTAACAAAACTAATGGTGAGCTCAGTATTCCTCCACTGAAATTGGATGAATCAACGGAACCATTTTTCCGAAACATCATGGGGTGGGAGCAGAGCTACTATCCGGAAGAAACCCACGTCTGTGACTATGTTTTTCTAATGGAATATCTCATAAAATCTAGTGATGACGTGGACTTACTTGTTCGGAAAAGGATTATCATCAACCAGTTGGGGAGTCACACGGCCGTGGTGACTTTGTTCAACGACCTCTGCAAACATATTCCCCCGACGGAGAATAATCGTTACTCGGAGACTTTTAGGGACCTCAATGCTTACAACTCGGTTCGACGTCATGGTTGGATGGCAAAGCTCAGACTACTCTACTTTTCATCTTTGTGGAAAAGTGTCGCTACGCTTGCTGCTACTGCGCTCCTTTTGCTCACTCTGACACAAACCATATGTGCTCTCATCTCCCTTTAGTCTATATCATATGTTCTGTGTGTAATCATTTCCATGTGATTTGAATTTGAGCCAGATTCTCTTTAAGTTTTCACACAAACTTTTAGTTCATGTCTGCAACGTTGTTGAAACATTTGGTCCCCTCACAGCACCCCTTCTGAAATAACAAAAATTGAGTGAATCCATTTCTGGTCCTAAATGGACAAAACAAGAGACATCAACGGAATGTGATGCTCAACTGCTGAAGCTCGAAGACAACCGGTAACAGGACAATCGACCATATCACTGCTGAAAATGAGACTAGATAGATAACAAGCTATTCAAGTTTGACAAATCAAATTATTCAAATCGAATTTATCGTATACAAAATTTGTAAACATTGCATGAGACATTAGAGGAAGGCAATGTTTTGATTATTTTAAATCACATGACACAAGATATAAAAATAATTAATTAATTAAATTTTGCTATAAAATAATTTTTATATATAAAAACAAATAAATTAATACCTAAAATTCCTCACCAATGTAGAGATGTTCAAAGGTTGGATCAGACTGAACTCGAACTGAACTTCACGTGAAAAAAAAAATATATTTTCAGTCCTAACTTGATTGTATTAGGCTTGATTTTTAAGTAGTTCTGTGAATCATAAATCGTGAAATTACATTTTAGTTTTTCTATTATATTTTTTGTATTTTTTATTATTTTATTTGAATAGACACTTAGTGTGTTATTTGTTGGAAAAATAACTGAAGAAAAATAAATATCAGTATGAAGACATGCAGAACACAGGAAATGGAGCCCAAAGACTATGATAAGTGTACTTAGCCCAAAACTCCATGGGTCAATCTTTTCGTATGGGCACTCTCTTATATTTAATATTTATATGTTTGGTTTTAATCATATAAATTATTGGGTAAATTACTTCAAATATCACTCATTTTTAAGCTCAGTTTCGTTTATACGACTAACATTTTAATTTTATCAATTTTAGAACTAACGTTTACCTTTAAATGCAATTATGTCACTCTGTCGTTAATATCTAACGGGACAATGATGTGGCAGTCGTGCTTCATGACGTTGCTGACATGACTATGTTTAATGCTAAAAAACTCAAAACGATGTAGTTTTGTTTTGAGAGAGTCAAAGGAATTTGAAATCAAAACCCTTAAAAAAAACAAGGTCTAAGGCTTAATCACTATACCAACTTAATATTTTTACACAATCCTACAAATATAATATACATAACATTAGTCACAAATTCCAAATGTTATTTTCTAAAAAACCATGAAATTATTAAAATTCCTAAATAACACTCTAAATTTCAAAAATTCCAAAAAAAAACTCCTAAAATCCTAAAATTCTAAAAAAATCAAGTTCTAAAATTTTAAAAATTTCTGGGGTTTTCGGGGTCATATTTCTGTTGTATTTTTAAATCTTAGGGTTTATTAAATTAGTCAATAGGGAAATTTGTTGTTTTATTATTGATATTGTTATTTTTTATATGTAAAGATTGTTTTTATGACTAGTTTTCCTGGAAGATTTTGTTTTAGTTTCCCGAAAATATTTTGGATTTTTAGGAATTTAAGAGTTTTTTTTGGAATTTTTGGTGTTATTTAGGAATTATAATAATTTTATGGGATTTTAAAAAAAATAACATTTGGAATGCTTGACTCATGTTATGTATATTATGTTTGTAAGATAATATTAAAATTTTAGGTTGGTACAGTGGTTAAGAGCCCGAGTATTGCCGAGCTCGACTCGAACTCGAAAACTTTAAATGTAGACTCGACTCGACTCGAAAACTCGCGACCTAAAATTTTCAAGCTCGACTCGAACTCGAAAGATAATATAGAAACTCGACTCGAACTCGAAAAGGCTCGAACTAAAAAAAAAATCAGGAGCTCGATTGAAGCTCGAGACTCGAGCTCGATTGAAGCTCGATTTTGAGCTCGATTCAAGCTCGAATTTGAGCTCGATTCAAGCTCGAACTCGATTCAAACTCGAACTCGATTCAAGCTCGAACTCGAATTTGAACCTACAAAAATCTTATATTACATTTAAAATATATAAATAATTTTCTCTTTAATCAACCATCACCAATACATTTTTTTATGATAATATAAACTCATTTCAGAAACTTTATAGGATGCATACAAGAGTAGTTATGGTTGTAGAACAGGTTCTAAACACATAAGATCAAACACGTGCCTACATCAGACACCTATTTACAATCCTCCCCAAAGCAAAACAACAACTTTTGCCATAAAAGTAGTGTTTCAAAACTCAAAATACAAAGGCAAATCTTCCATAGAAACACAAAATCCAACAACAAATATTTCAATCTACCTGTTATGTACCATAAAACTCAAATTCACAAAAAAATAACAGTAACATGTCCAAGCTTCCATACATAGAACCTATAAAAAAGAGTAAAAGATAATAAATAATAATAAATTATTCTATAAAAAGCATGAAATCATTACAAATATGAAGTAAAAAATTACAAGATTAACAAATTCAAATATTAAACTTTTAATTTGTCACAGTATCGATTCTTTCGAAGGTATTGATATAATAATTTCTTTCGGTTGTTTGTCAGCATTCTGCAATAATTTAAAAACTCAAATAAATCTACATATATTTAAAAAAAGTAAACAAACTTTGTTATAAGAAAATACATTTACCTTATTCTTTCTTTTCACTCAATGAAGGAATCTACACCAATCACCTGCACACATCAACATTTGAACTGTTTCTGGAGTAAGGGAATGCCTATAAGGATCTATTACACGACTTCCACACTAAATGTGGCTTCAGAAGCCACAGTAGTAATAGGAACAGCCAATACATTTACTGCCATCCTAGATAAAATGCGAAATTTGTTTGACTTCTCCTTCAACCAAGCAATGACATCAAATTTCGCATCTTGACTAAAGATGCACCCCTCATCCAAATATGAATCAAGTTCATACTTCACACGCGTACAGATGTTTCTCCATTAAAAACGTCTTGCAAAAGCTCATACAAACCACTAGATGTAACATCACCTCCATGAACATCCATAGAAAATGCATGTTTTTCACTTTCTTCCACATTACAAGATGAAGAATACATCGTCAAATATCATCAAAAAGTTGATACATGATGTCTTTGACCTTACTAATGTTCTCCCTAACTAAATGTGATGGAAACATTTTGGGAAAGGCAATTTCTACAACCCTCATTTTCAATCTAGGATCTAATACTGAAGCTATTGCCATTAACAAATTGCATTCACCCCAATACTTGTCAAACCTCTCTTTCATGTTACCAACACACCAGAGGGGAAAGGTACTATTTATTTAAAGATAAACAAGCTCATAAACTCATAAACAAACTCACCAGAGGGGAAATGTACTATTCGGTCGTGGAAGCCGGGACATGAAAGTATAGTCAAAGTTCGCCAACACACAGACGCAAGCATTTAGACGAACAATGGGGATGGAATGCTTCGATTCCTCAGTTTTGAATGCACGGTAGAGTGGGGTTTCTAATGAACATTTGTATCTTCTTCTAGCTGATCTTAAAACGATTAGCATATTAACTATTGAAAATGAAAATTCGAAATTGCAATAAAAAAAACCAGACGGGTCATAATGAAAACGAAAGGGAAATGGGCAAACCTGAGGAACCGACAAAGGCGTCAATAGAAAAAATAAACTCTTTTATCAGTTCCCAACACGACCATAACAATGGCCCTAGCATGTTCTTGGACAGCTCAACAATAATCAATTATTAATTGATTTTTTTTGGGGTGATGGAGCTCGTTTACACGTTGATAAATGTACAAAGAAACAACTCACATTTTGATGATAATAATAATAATAATAGGAAAATACATGGCATGCTCGACAAATATTTTGGAAGTACTTAAAGCAAGTTCCATTTTGATTTTTTTATTAAAATAAATTCCCCAAAATAATGTGTTTATATAGCTTGTCAGAAATAGCTCGGGATTTAAGGTTTTCTTGCTTGTTTGCTTCCAACGTTGGAATGAGGTTCAAGAGAATGTTGTCATTGGGAATAATTCCTTATATTAATCCGAGAGAATAATTTGTTTTGTTTTTTTATTAAATTTCAAATTTTAAAATCTTGTAGTTTTGGTTTATTGTTATATTTTTTAATTTTGTAATGTGACACGGGAATTTATTTTATGTGATTGCAAATATGAAACTGAATTTAGGTACTAATCAGATTGTTTGAATCAAGTTTGAATAAAGTTATTTTGGATCTAAATTATATCCGATTCAATTGATGTCAAAGCGAATTCATTTTTTATTTAATTCAAGTTTATAGTAAGTTTGTTTAGGTCTAATCAAATATTGAGTTAGGTTAATATCAAATCGATAAATTTTCAGGTCGTGTCAATAACAAATCGACTAGTTTTTTATTATGGCTAAAATTTAGATCTTCAGGTTAATTTGGTTTAAGATATGAGTCAAATCAAATATATATAATTATTGATATATATTATTGTAAAACAAGTCTCTTATTGTTTATTAATTTTATCATTTAGCTTTAATTTCAACTTTCAATTGTTCAATATTTTGAATTTAATCATTATTTAGGGTTTAGTATTTATAGTTTATAGTTTAGGGATTTAGGGTTTAAGGTTTTATGATTTAAAATTTATGTTCAAGGTTTAGTATTTAGGGTTTAAGGTTTATAGTTTATAATTTAGGGTTTGGGGTTTGGGGTTTATAGTTTATAGTTTATAGTTTAGTGTTTTAAGTTTACATTTAGGTTTAAGGTTCATGTTTTAGGCCTTAGGGTTTAAGGTTTAGGATTTGATGTTTAAGGCTTAGGTTTAAGGCTTAAGGTTTATGGTTTTATAATTTAGGATTTAGGGTTTAGGGTTTAATGAAAATGAAATGATTTGTTTAATCATTTTATTAGGATTCTCATGTATAGTTTATGTTCTGGGTGAGGCATTATCACCTCAGAATGGAATTCATCAAAAACTTGTAGCCTAATTAATATATGAAACTATCAATTCAATGATATGGCTTAATGCAGCTGTAGATGACGAACTGCAATGGG